ACCCCACTTCCTGACTCTGTCTCATCCTGAAATGGAGTGAATGACATATGTCCAGGAAGCTGGGGGCTATGTGTGTACTACCTGACCACTGGGAAGCTTCTAGAGCTGACTTTTCACCAAATAAGGCAATGTGCGCCCTCTAACTTGTAGGAGAAATTCCACCCCTGGCATCGAGGAGGACAAGTAGGGTCTTCTCTGACTCTTGAGTCTGACTAGTGGGGTATGATTGCTTACAGTGCTGTGTTGAGAAGGATTCTAAGGTTAAGTCTGGGCTTGCTGGGAAAGAATGCTGTGATCTGAAATAATGCTCTATCATGGGGACGTAGGAGTGCATATAAAATGACTTTCGAAAGGTCTAGAGACACCCACTGGATTCATGGAAGGAGGGAAGGGATGAAGGGGACCTGCAAATGGCTTTTCCTTCTGCCTCACCTACCAGTTCCCACCAATGGCCCTTGCCCATCTTTGTCACCACCAGGGAAGCCTTCCCTCTGTTCCAACCATGCTGGTGGCTACTTTGCTGGGCCACTCCTCTCTGCTGAGAGAGGGTGTGCACTGTTAGGTGTGCTGTGCGTGTCACTGGTCCCTCTTGAGGTCAGAAGCTGTGCCATGACAGAAAATAGGTCCTGCTTAACATTGGGCAAATGTCATGACACTTGCTCAATGTTTGCCCCCTGAATGCTGGCAGTTTCTGGGAATCTTTCAGCACTGGAGCTGTGGACAGAGACCCTCCCTATTAACCTTTCCCACACAGCCACAGAGGAGGAGGCTTTCTTTATCTTTTCCTCCCTCATGCAGATTGAGCAAGGCTTGGGATCACAGGCACACCTCCCCACTCCTTGTCTGCCAAGGTGCTACCTGGCCAACCCTGAAACCTGTTCCCTGCACCCTCACCTAGGCTACTCTGAAGATCAAGAGTCCTGATTCTTTGTGACTTGGACTCTGAGCCTCAGTGTCCTTATTTGTGAATTGAAAATACAGTGGAATGGCAATGACAAGGGCATAGAGGACACTCAACAAACTCTTTTTCTTTTCTTTCTTTTTTCTTTTTGTGGAATTGGGGTTTGAACTCAGGGCCTACACCATGAGCCACTCCACCAGCCCTTTGTTGTGTTGGTTATTTTCAAGATAGGGTCTCTTGAACTGTTTGCCCAGGCTGGCCTCGAACTGCCATCCCCCTGATCATTGCCTCCTGAGGAGCTAGGATTACAGGCATGAGACACCTGTGGCTAGCTTCTTTTTCTTTTCTTTGTTTTCTTGCAACTCTCTCTCTCCCTCTCACTCTCTCTCTCTCTCGTCTCTGTGGTGCTGGTGAACCCAGGGCCTTGCCCATGATAGGCAAGTGCTTTACCACTGAGCTACATCCCCAGCCCACGTTTCTTTCTTTCTTTTTCCTTTTTCTCTCCCTTTCTCCCTCCCTCCCTCCCTCCCTCCCTCCCTCCCTCCCTCCCTTCCTTCTCCTTCTCACAGTGCTAGGGTTTGAACTCAGAGCCTCAGTTATTCTACCACTTGAGCCATTTCCCTGGCCCTTTTTGCTTTAGCTTTCGGATAGGATCTCCTGCTTTTGCCTGGGACGAGTCTGGAACCATGATGCTACCTGCACATCCCAAGTAGCTGGGACTGTGGCTGTGCACCATCATGCATGGCAAAGGGCACTGAAACTGGGATACTTTTTGGTGATAGTGGGATTTGAACTCAGGGCCTTAAGTTTGCTAGGCAGGCACCCTACCACTTGAGCCACTCCACCAGACCAGGCCCTGATATGTTCTTGAATGAATAAATGAAGGATAATGCATGATACCTATCTCATGGGTGTTTTGTCAGAACTTAATGATTTATTACATGTATGTATGTGTAGAACAGGGCCTGGCACACGGAAAGCCCTGTGTTTGCTATTGGTGAATTTTCATGCAGTTCTTTTCAGATCCTGTAAAGACTGGAAGGGCTGGGGTTGTTGGTGAATTTCAGAGGGTTTTGCTTGGACCTCAGGCCTAGAGGGGACACTGGGGGACAAGGCTCCAAGTCCTCTCCCTCCAGGTCCTCGCCTTGACAATTACCCCCTCTGGCACCCATACCAGGGTTCAACCCTCCAGCAGCCACTAAAGAGAGCTATCAAATTCATGAATTCTGCTAGGTGTGGTGGCTCATGTCGGTAATCCCAGCACTTGGGAGGCTGAGGCAAGAGGCAGGAGGTTCTCAAGTTTGAGGCCACTCTGGGCTACATAGAGGAAAAAAAAAAAAGTGTGTGTGTGTAGGGGGCGAATTACCACTGGGCCTGGTGTGGTGGTGGGCACGAAAGGGTCACCTGGAACTAACAAGGAATCCACCACTCCCTCGCACTTCCCTTTGGGAGACGCCAGTCCAAGGGAGGTCCGGGACACCAGACTGGTTTATGCGTCGTGTTTGGAGGCGGGTGATGAAAGCCGTGGAGCGGTCGGGGCGCGGCGCGGGCCAGGAGCGCAGGAGGAGGCTGATGGGCGTGGGCAGGGCGGTTTCAGCATTTCTTTCCGAGCCACCCCAGGGACTGCAGGCCCAGGGGCAGCGGCTTCGTGCGTGCCTCAGACCCTGCGTCCAGGCAGCGCGGATCCCATACCGCTTTAAACAACTATCCAGGTTTCTCGCTTCTTCTGGGCCTGGGCATCGTGTGCGGACCCGGTCTGGGTGGGGCGCACCCTGCTGATCTCTTGCGCCCCGAGATCGGGAAAGGAGGTGGAAAGCTCGAGTTGGGGTGGGGGACCGAGAGGGACGGACCTCCAGTCGAAAAGAGTTGACCTCTCCAGGGTCACCCTGTCCTCTCTTCCCAGTCCCTGCAGCCCCTAGTTCCTGAACCCCGCTTTGGAGCACATGTGTGAGTGTCGGAGTGGGCTTCTCAGGAATGTTCTGCCAGCCGTCCAGGGGGCTCCTGGTCCTAGCTGCGGCACCGGGGAGTCTTACCTGAGGCCTGGGCAGCCATCGCCATGGGCTGACCACAACTGGGGCGCAGCGCCGATCTGCCTTCCAGGTGAGGCTCCAGCGCCCAGGTCAGAGGCCCCGATGCCCTCCCCGGCGGACTGCGCAGCCGCCCTTCGGGCTCCACGGCCCATCGATTTTTCTGTTGACTTTGGGAATCCCATTAATCCTTCATTAATTACCCTGCCGGGGGCTCCGGGGACAGCCAATAGCTAGGCGGCTGGACGCCCGGGCGGGGCGGGAGGCGGTGCCAGGCACTGGGGCGCCAGGGTCTTTGGCAGTCGGGATGGCCTTGGCCTTGCAGCCCGCCCTCAGGGTGGGTGGAGTGGGGTGGGTGCAATGTTCTTAGGCCCAAGTAAAGGGTTTTGGGGTTCAGGACACACTTTTTCTGGCAACCAAACCGGGAATTATCTTCTTCCCTCTCTCAGGTCTGGGGTTGCCTTTTTCCTATAGTCTACTTAGCACCAGGCTGGGATGTGCCTTTGCAGAACTCTTTCTCTGCCTGAAGTCAAAGATGAATTTGGAGTAGAAGAGACCCGGTCTTAGCCTCATTCTGACAAGGAGTGAGAGGGGATAGGAGACAGCCTGCTCTGGCCTGGCCCTCTGGGTCTCTTAACCCCACCAACTGCCTTCCTCATGCTGCCTTCCTCAGATGTCCATGTTCTCCAGGTGCCACTGTGGTCATGCTTCCCCCAAAATGCCATCTGCTCCAACTGAAGTCCCCAGCCCAGTCTGGGTCTATTCCTTCCACCCCCTTCCCAATCTTCCTCTCTTGCCTGGGTTCCAATGTCTGACTCTCTAACCTCCAGTCTCCCTGCCTCCTAAGTCCCTTTGCCAGAATAGAAGCTCCATGGCTTTAGAGAGGCTCTTCAGGGACCCCCAGGGGAGAGGAAGCCCTAGGGGTGAGGATCTGGCTCCCCCAAATGCCTCTTAAACTGGAACCATTGTTTATTTATATCTATGTTATGAACTTGGGTGCCTGACATCCTGAAATATTTTTTTGGGAAAGAAAATCTGCTCCTTATGGTTGATAAATACAAGGGTGCAGTGGAATAGGAGGAATGACTTCTAGTGTAATCTAGCACAGGAGAATGACTATGGTTACAACTCACTGAATATTTCAAAATATTGACTAAAGAGGATTTTGAATACTCCTAACACAAAAAAAAGATCTCTGTTTGAGCTGATGGATTTACCAGTTACCCTGATCTGATCATGACACATTATATACATAGGAATGTGTGAATGTGTGCAATTACTATGTGCCAATTAAAAATATATTAGCAGAAAAGCTCAGCTGCTTGAAAAAAGTTTGAAAATTATAACTCTTTGTAGAATGGATCTGGCTCTCTGTGAGCTCGGGCTAGTCACTTTACTTCTTTGGGTCTGTTTCCTTCTTTGTAAGATGGGGAAGCTGGACTGGGGCAGTTCTTGTTAATCTAGTGTCATGGGATACATAAAAATATGATTACGTATTTGTCACTTGCAGATAAAGAGAAGAGGAAGGTGGCAGCTTGGGAACTCCATTTAGCCCCTCCCAGCCACCCAGTTAGCCACTACTTAGTCTACAACTCAGACTCTGCTCGCTCACCCATTGCAAAGTTTGAGGCCTGAAAACTGTGGGCCTTTCCAGCTCTGACTGCCAAGTTCCTCTCTTGTGACTATTTCAGTTGAGGCTGCTGAGGCACGAAGTGAGGAGATAGGAGGTGAATTGCAGGTTTATTGAATCCTGGCTCCAGACAGCACACTGGCCCAGCCACAAGGCTGGGATTAGTTGCTGGCATCTCCAGATCCTGCCTGGTCCTAGGAATTCTACAGAGTGAGGTGCCCCTCCCCCAGTTGCCCCAGATCCCAGAGTTATGGGGGGGTGGAAGGGTGATTTGGGCATGTCCTGGTTGTGCTTTAAAAACTCATCCTGGAAAAATAAACTTTAGTGAAAATTCCACTTTGGGGCCAGTGGAGAGTGAGTGGTAATGTGGCACTGTGACTATCAGCCTGGGTTTCATTCCCACAGAGACTGAGATCCCTCTTCCATATCTCAGTCCCAGACTTCAAGACAGCACGTAGACCTCCAGCAGGCTAGAGACGGCGTGCATGCGGTAGAAGATACCAAAAGGCAGGCAGATGTTCACGATGGCCGCCCAGAGGGAGTAGCCATAGAAGTCCACCTCCACCGTATTGCTGAAGTGAGGGCGGGCACCGAAGGCTGGTATGATCCACAGCTGTGTAGGGAGAGGGGAGCATCACCAGCCAGCCCAGAATGCACCTGAGAGTCATTTATGTCCACTTTGCTGGGCCCTGACAGGATGGGATCCCAGCTTTCTAGTTTGGTGGACATTGAGGGCTAGGTGCTACTGAGTGGGGACCTCCAGCATCTTGGACAGAGCCTGGCACGCTCTGAGGAACTCAGAAGTGTGCTCAAGTTAGCATGTCCATGCCTAGGCTAGGGCTCCGTCTGTGGTCACCTCTCTCCCTCCCTCTTAGCAGGGTCCACCTGTGGGATGGAAGTTTCAATAGGTGACATGAGAAATTGGTATAAATAGTTGAATCAGCAGCTGGAGAGATATGTGTATGGACGTACTGATGGTAGAATCAGTCGGGCCAAGGGCAGGAGGTCAGAGCTCCACCAGTGGTTATCCTTCCTCATGAGCTCAGCTCTCCCACTCCACCCACCTCCAACCCCCTTCCCACGTCTGGGAGGTTGAAGCTGGAAACCTGCTGCATCTCTGCCTAGGAGCATGGATGGTTCAAGTGTGGGGATGAGGCAAAGGACAAAGGCTTCTTGGCTAGCCTCACTCCTACCAATTGACTCTGTTCTTGGGCCTCTGAGCCTGTTTCTGTCTTTAAAAAGGAAAGAGATGGAAATGATGCTGCCAGAAGTGATTCTGGCTCAGATACCTGAAGTGAGAAACAGCCTCTGGGAAGGTGACTCCAGGCCTATAAGCTAGGCTGAGAGGAAGGCTGGGGTGGGGCCAGGACAGGGGGGCTAGGCACCAAAGGAGGCCCCAGACATAATGTGGTTTTGAACCTTATTGTTTTTACTTGGTAGAGTCAGAGATTGGTGACCACATTTTTTTTTTTCTTTAAAGTTAAATTGACTATTGGACAGCTCCTGCATGGGGTCATACCATATCGATGGGGACCATGATTGCCCAGGAGATTTACCTGTAGTGTGGGTAGTAGTCACAATGGGACTTCAGTAAGAATGCAAATTATTTAGGAATGTTGGTGGATTTCACATAGGTAGAATTTCATGGGGATAGAACTCACTCTAAGGATGTTATTCTATATTAGAATCTCTCTCTCTCATCTATCTTTTTTTTTTCTGTGTTGGGGGTTGAACCCAGGACATTATGCATGCTAGGCAGTTGCTCTACCACTAAGCTACACCCCCAGGCCTAGGATATACCCATATTAAGTACTTTTCCATATTATGGACATCCTTCTATTGGAATCAATAGTCAAAAGGCCTATTTTTATATTGAGTCAAATTTCATTAGATTGTCTTTTCTATTTGGGATATATAGTCATCCCTTGGTATACACAGAGGATTGGTTCCAGGATCCTCTATAGATACTAAACTCCAAGGAAGCTCAAGTTCCTTCTATAAAAAGGCATAAATTTTGTATATAGCCAACATATATCTTCTATATACTTTAAATCATATGTAGATTACTATATTCACAATATGTAACACAATGTAAATGCTATTTAAATTGTGGTAACATTGTATTATTTAGGGAATAATGATAAGAAAAAAGTCTCCATGTTCAGTACAGATGGAATTTTTTTTATATTTTCCATCTGATGTTTGGCTGAATCCTGAGTCAGGGAACCTACAGCTACAGGAGGCTGACTGTACCCACATAAGTGTGTGTTTCTATATTAGAGACTTCTGTTCTGAGATCATTTCTACACTAGAGCATTTCTATATTGGGTCATAGCTATGCCAGGGATGCTTCTCTATTGGGGTGCACCTTCATTACGATTGTTTCTGCCCCGGGGTGTTTCCATCCAGGGACTATATTTCTACTGGGTAAAGTCTGTTGCTTTTGGTAGTTGGCTTTGCCAAATCATAGGGTAGGGGTGGCTGTGGTACCTGCCCTTTTCCCAGCTGACCCACCACTGCACCCTGCCAACAAACCGCTCACACTTACGCTAGTCTCTGCTACTTCCTGATGTTGCTCCAATTATTCTGAGGAGTAGGCAGGTCACAAGTTCCTAGGAGCAGTCACACCTCCCACATGGAGGTGTGAGCCCCTGCCCTTCACATCAGTTCTTTGCTGCCTCTCACCTTCACCCAGCCCCCACATCAGCTTTCCCTGGGATCCCTCCAGCTCCATCTGCTGCCCACATACTAGAAAGCTGCGATTTCATTCTTTCTTTGAGCCCTGAGATGCTGTTTGCCCAAGGGCTGAAGATAGCCCTCTCTGCACCTGCTCCTAGTCTAGGGAGCTATAAGATTCTTAGGTGGGCTAAGGACAAGACAGAGAAGGCTAAGTGCATAAGCCCTCAGGAGCATCTTTTCTCCACCTCGACCCACACCTTCCCCAGCTACTTACAATGACATTGCAGAGCAGGAGAAACAGAGAAATGTCTTTTAGGCACCGGCGTTTCCAGTGGCCCCTGGGGGCCAAGATGATGGCTACTGCTTCCTGATGGCCTTCTGGGTTAGGGCTGACTAGCCTGGGAGTAGGTGGGCAGGTAGGCAAAGTGTGGAGGGCATCTAGGTTGGCAAAGGTGAGGCCTTGGTAGGGCTCCTTGGGGGCTGTTTCATGAGGTTCATCCCCGGGTGGTCCTCGGTGAAGGCTCTCAATGATGAACACGTTCTGGAAGGTGTGCTGGGCGATCATGAGTAGAGCATGGGCCAAGTTGAGCCCCCCAAGTAGGTCCCTAGGTGTGCCCACCACCACAGCCACAATGGAGTAGTAGGAAATGGCATACTGGCCCAAGGCGGCACCCATCAGCAGGGCCACATCCAGGGTGCGTGTGGGGTTCTTATGGTGGTCCATGGCCCGACGGTCAAAACGGTAGATGACTGAGCCACTCAAGCTGACCAAGGTCATGAGCCCCAGACAGACGATATTGAAACTGTAGTAGATGACCAGAGCCTGTTCAGTGCATCCTCCCTCTCCACTCACTTGGACCTCATAGATGATGAAGACAGCCAGTCCCACCACAAAGAGCATTAGGCCCAGGACTGGGCCAGCAAAAAAGGTCTCCCGGAAGAGGCTGACCCGAGATGGGGTGTGAGCATGGCCATGGGAAGAGGCAAGCAACCTGCCCACGTTCTTCCACATGACGTAGAGCATGGTGGAGGCAAAGAGGCTATACTCAATGTTGAAGGGATACAAGTAGAAATACCCCTGCTGGAAGATCTGGCAGATGTTCGTGTCACAGGAGCATGGATCTCCTCCGACAGTGCTGCCTGCACGCTCCACTGTGGAGAGAAGGAGACAGGGCTGGGCTGCCCTCCTGTCCTAGCCTGTCACCTTTGTAAGTAAGTGCCGGGATTCTTTCTGACAGTCACCACTGTGGCCCAAAGGCCTTTGCAGGGCTTGGCATGTTTCAATCTGTAGTTAGTTTTTGTGAACCTACTAGCCAGAGACTAAGAAACCTATCAGTGCTCAATTGAAAAAAATTCGAGAGTGTGGTGCACGTCTGTAATCCTAGCACCTGGAGGGCTGAGGCAGGAAGATTGTAAATTTGAGGCTAGTCTAAGGTACATATTGAGACCCTGCCTCAACCCACCCCCCCAAAAAATAACTGAACCATAGATCTGCCTACCTCACTCCATTTCATTCTTCAATCCCTCCCCATCGATAATGTCCCCGGCCCCCTGAGATAGGCAGACTCTGGTTCTCTTAGAATGTGGCCCCCTTGGGACCCCCTAAAGTTCAGGCTTCCATATGGCCCAGACCTTCAGCTGCTAAAGCCAAGTCTCCACCAGTGAGGACCTGTCACTGAAGTCACATCCTGTCACTTCCATTTGTAGCACACCAAAGAAATCTTTTTTTTGGGTGGTACTGGGGTTTGAACTCAGGGCTTCATGCTTGCTAGGCAGGCACTCTACCACTTAGCCATTCCACCAGCCCTTTTTTTTGTGTGTGTGTTGAGTGTTCTTGAGATAGGGTCTCGTGAGCCATTTGCTTGAGTCTTGCTTTGAACCATGATCCTCCTGATTTCTGTCTCCTGAGTAGCTAGGATTTTACAGGTGAGAGTCATGGGCACCCAGTTCCAAAAGGAATCTTGACTCAAATTCAGAATGTGCTTTGTAGGATACCTTGGGCCTTTGGCAAATATCTCTTTTGGCCCTCAGAATTTTCCCAGCTGTATTTGTAAGAGAAGAAGCTGAGGCTAAGGAGGCAGAGCCCTGTAGCATGGGAGCTAAAGCAAACTGCCTGACTTCCAACTCTGAGGTAGGCTTCTCTCTCTGGTAGGCCTCTCCCACCCCATGGGCCCACCATGTCAAGTTGACCATGCCCCCTGAATTGGTTTTCACTTCCCTCTGAATCTCTGGATATGCAAGGTGACCCTTGATCGGTTCTGCTGGGCTGGGGTCTCCCTGGTGGCTGGGGCCACACTTTTTGCTCTTGGACTCTCCCATGTGGCAGTGTGTGTGTGTGTGTGTGTGTGTGTGAGGGGGTGGTGTGTTGTGGTGTGGTGTGTATGTGGTGGGTGCCTGTGTCTTAGCCATCTGGTCTGGTCCTGGCTAGTGGGGGGCCCTAGTTCAGAGAACTAGTTGGGTGGGGTGAGGGCTGTGGACCCCTGTTCTTCCTTAGCGAAGCACACTGGTTAAAAGCAAAGATGGTTCTGAGCACTAGTGCTCCAATGTCAGGTTCTGTGACCTTGAGTAAGCTACTTAACCTCTCAATGCTTAGCTTCTGCGCCTGAAAATGGGAAGCTTAATAGTACCAGTCTTCAAAGGAAGTTGTGAAAGGTTAAATGGTGTTTAAGACACTTAGCACTGTGCAGGAATTATAGAGCATGGTAAATTATCACTACTATCATCATGATGGGGTGACTATTTCTTACCCTCTCCCTCCCAGACTGTCCTTATGATCCCAGGCTCCCTTAGCAGAACCACTCAGCCTCCTTTCTCCCTTCCCCAGCTGGATCGTCCTTGCCCTATCTTCTGGGAGCCTGGGTTCCTTCTTTGTGGGATGGAGACCTTGATGGTGGGGCTAAAGCTGCACCCTCAAGGATAAGAAGATGATCCCCCAGTAAGTATATCATACTTACAAGGCAGAGCTTGAAGTGGGAGGAGACCCCTGGCATCCACCTTTGCCTCCATGCCTTGTGACAGTACGGTTGACTGACTACAAATGCACAAAAAAACACCCACCCAAGGGCGGCTATGGCACCAGGGCTAAGAAGGAACTCACGGTCAGGGGCGAGGCGGGTGAGGCTGGCGAGGCTGGCGTTGTTGTGAGAGCTGCTGTAGGAGTGGGCCTGGTGCACGGATTCATCCACCACAGCTGCCATCCAGATGGCCAGGTTGGTGGTGAGGGTGAACATGAGTCCACACCTGTTTGGAGGTGGGAGTGGAGGGGTGGGTAGAGAAGAAAAGAGGCTGGTAAGGCTTTGGCTCATTTTGGGTCCCTGGCAAGACAGGGGTTTGGGAGCTTTCTTGAGAGATGGTATTGCAAAATGAGAAGGCAAGCAGGTCCCTGTGAACAGGGACCGCTGTTGACCGCGGAAGGATTACTCAGTCTGGTGGGGATGCCATCCCAAAGAGAGGCTCAGATCTCACTGCTCCCTCCCATGGGGGACAGGGCACAGCACAGGGCAGTGGAAATCAGACTAATGAAGCTGGGGCCTTGGCTGAAACCCCACCTGGGGAGCAGAGAGAAGAGCCAGGCCCAGGCTGGAAGCCCCACGAGCACTAACCACATTAAGCTGTGGTTCTCACCGGGTCAGGTCCAGGTGGCTGTGGATACAGTCTTTAGCAGAGACCCAGAGAAAGTAAGTCTGCATTGAGAGAGAGAGCAAGGGTCATTACACTGCAGATGGGTGAACTCTAGAGAGCCATGTCCACGTCCGGTAATAGGTTCTCACTACCCTATACTAACTGCTCAGGTTTATTTTAACTATTCAAAGACCGGGAACATTTTCTCTTTCTTCTCTATGGTGCAGTGTGCATAAAGATAGTGGCTCTTTTTTCCTTAAAGGTTTGCAAATTATCACCTGTAAAACTGTGAGGGTTTTTTTTTTTTTGGGCAGGGGGGCAGTGATAAGTATCCAGTATAATTTTGAATACCTAGTTATTTATTCCTGGAAGTAAAGCCAGTCTCAGACCAGGTCTTGCTCAAGGTAGAAAGGGTCTCTGGTGACATCTCACCTTCCTCTATCCACACCTCTTGCCCATCTTCTTTATTTGTTGGCCTGCAAGGCCTTGTCCTCATCTGACTGGGGTTTGTTGATGGGGAGAGGGGTATTTGTATTGTCATTTTTACCTGAGTATTCTTCAAACTCATGAAATGTAAAGGACTAGAACTATGTAAATGCCAAGGGTACATGTATGTTAAACCATGGGACACGCGGGGTGCTTCAGAGCAGGGCACCATCCCTACGGTCCTTCTGGTCATGCTATGGGGCCAGGCTGTCTTCTGCTCCCATGTTAGACTTTCCAAAATGATGTGTATGCGACAAACTAAAAAGAAAATGAACTCATCTGAAACAAATCTTAGTTACGGGATATACCACCTCCCGGATAAATACTGAACCTGGGAGCCAAGACTGAGGCCAAATGGGCCACAGCCACGGCATGACCCTCGGCTGAGAATGATGTACTCTTGGGAACCCAAGGAGGGCATGCTAGGTTCTAGCACACAGGCTGCCTGTCACAACTCACACCTCCTAGGTGTTAACTACCGGCACTGCTTAGGTTGAAATAAAATTGCAGTGCCCCTAAGGAGGAGTTCACATTTAAGAATTACTTCATTACTCAATGCTTCCCCATTTATGAACTACTGTCCTATCCCATTTATTTAGTTGCTCAGGATAGAAGGGGGTGTGGAGCTCGGGTCTCCTGACCCCTTGCCAAACACTGGCTCCCCTCCCCCACACGCAGGGACATGCCCCCCACCCACCTGGACAATGACAAACACAGCCTGGATGATGGGGTGCAGGATCTTGATGGTCGACTGACACTCAAAGAAACTGGAGTAGTACCCGGTCTTGAAGACATCCATGACGACAGTGCAGATCCCAAACAACACCAGTCCACCTGAGAATCGGGGCAGCAGGGTGGTGGTGGTGTTTTAAAGAGGAAGGAGAGAGAGCTTGCAGAGCAGAGGATGGGCCCTGAAGATGGATGGCTAGAGGTGTGAGTGTAGTGAATGGCTGGATGATGGGTGGTTGGATGGATGGATGAACACAGGAATGGGCAAATGGATGGATTGAAAGAGGATTGGATAGATGGAAGGATGAGTGCATGAATGAACAGGTGGATGGATGAATGGGGAGGCTGGGAGGATGGATGAGTGAATAGGTGAATGGGCAAACTGAAGGACTGAAAGATGAAGGGGTGGATGGAAGGTTGAGTGCATGATTGAGTGGACAGATGGATGGAAGTCTTCTTGTGCCCCTCTTAGGGGCTGCATAGATACGGGAAAGGTTCCTAAATGGTTCTAAATGGTCAGCAGGTGTTGCCTTCTATTCCTTGTCAAATCCTCTGCCCCACTATTCATCCCTCCTCTAAGACTTCCTTCCCTGCCTTCTCCTCTCAGTAGGTCCATCCACACCTTCAGCTGCAGGTCCTCCAAGAACCCCAGCTGGCGACTCCCCACCATGCCCACTCCACTTCTGTCCCCACCTCCCCCAGCACCTCGGAGCCAGATGGGGCCTGCGTGTGCGTCGTGGTAGGGCACCGCGTCCGGGCAGCGCGTGGTGCGGAGGAGGTAGAAGAGGATCCAGAGCACCGCCAGCAGCATCATGGCGGTGAGCAGCGCGAACACGTCGGTGTCATACACTGCCACTTTGTTGAAGGCGCCGCCACTGATGAGCGTGCAGGCGAGCAGCAGCACGTTCACGGCCAGCAGCACCGACAGCAGGCGGCCGCCCTTCTTCCACACCTCTCGGGGGCCTGCCGGTGGCGCCGGTGGGCCCTCGGGGCCCGGGGCCAGCTCCTCGGACATGGTGAGGGCGACTGGAGGAGGTTAGAGGGATCACTGCGGGGGAGGAGCGGACAGGACTCCAGGTCAACCCCGAAGGCTCTCCTTTCTCCCATCTTATCCCTAGATTTGGGGGCGGGGGTTTCTAACCCCGAGGGTTGGGGCCAAGGGTTTTGTAAGAAGTTCTGGAGAAAGGGCAGAAAAAAACCCCAGCCTGCACCTCTCCGTCTCAACGGGAAAGAAAGGAGATGCAGACCCTGTCCAAGGTCCCACTTCCAAAATCCAACAGAACACTGGCCTGGAGCACGCACCTGGCTGGGCTGGGAGTCGACGCAGAGTTGGGGGTTAAGGGGTGGCGGGCGTCTCCTCTCTCCTACGCAGGGCTGGACGGACGCTTTATACCCAAAAGGGCAAAGTGATTTACAGCCACAACAGCCCGGCTCCATAAACCTCTCAGTTGCACTCACATGATCCATCTTTTCTACGAGCTGAATTTAGGGAAGAGAGCGCGGGAGCCAGATAAGGCGAGATTTATATTTACCTGTTAAGACACCCCCCACCCAACCCTCACCGCCACCCTGGCACAGCCCTGCACTGCGGCACCCGGAGGGCATCTGCCCCGCGCCCATGGCAACTGGTGCGTTGAGATCGCGCTCGCCAGAGCCCCCTGAGCTGACGCTCAAGAGACACCCCAAGTGCCCACCGGCACCCTAACGCCCTCCCAGGCCGGTGCACCCTACACCTTTGCCCTCGGTTGCTGCCCCTGGATCGGGACACCAGTTCCCCTTTTCCCCCACCTGCCCTCACAGTGATCTAAGTTCCTTCTTTTATCCCTGCCGCACCCCCCTCAGCTGCTCGGTGGGTGCTGCGAAGTCCAAGTCCGGGGCTTAGGTCCGAAGTTCCCACGCTGTGAGCTCAGTCGGCTCCCAGTCCTCTAGCGCCCCTTGCTGGAGCATGGCTGGCCAACCCCGTGCCAGGAGATGGCTGTCCCAGCTGCCGCGTGCTACTCGCGGACTGTCTTGTCCCTCTAGGCCCACTGTCCCAGGGGTCAAGACTGCCCCAGCCACCCCTCCCTTAGACATCTTTCCTTGCCCTTGACCCGTTCCTTGATAGGTGGAGAAATCCGGAGCCGCGGCTCTGTGCCTCCAAGTGTGTGTGCGGGGTGGGGAGGGGGGAGCGCTGGGGTGGCGCTTTTGGAGAAAGAGCAGGGCCTCACATGGGTCATCTCTGTGCTCTGAGAAGCTAGGCGTTTAGGACCCAGGGGAAGCCCAGGGCTGCGGGAGGTCCACCCCCCCCTCCAACCGGGGTGACCGGCTCAGATGTCTTGGTAGCCCGTGGCGCTCCGCACCCTCCATCTGCGGCAGCAGGGGCTGGCGGCCCTAGCCCTGCCGGGCCCCCTTTCCCAACCTCATGCCTCAGACCTAATCCTGCTGCCTCCCCAGGGGGGGCATTTCCCTGAGCCCCCTGCCCGCCCTGTCCAAGTAAGGCGCCATGAACGACCAGTACCACCGGGCAGCCAGGGATGGCTACTTGGAGCTCCTCAAGGAGGCTACCCGGAAGGAGCTGAATGCCCCTGACGAGGATGGCATGACCCCCACCCTCTGGGCTGCCTACCATGGCAACCTGGAGTCTCTCCGCCTCATCGTGAGCCGAGGGTGAGTGTACCCCTCCGCCTGGCCAGGGAAGGGGAACAGTCTCCCTGCACACTTTCCCCAGACCTCATGGCATCGTTTCTGTGGTCTTTCCCTATGGACAGACTCTAAGGTGGCACCTTGGAGGCTGGAATGCATAGGGGAGACACACGTGGAGAGGACTATCAGCTGAGGCATGTGACACTTGTGACCTGGATGAAGGGCTGGGAGGAGAGGAACTGGGATTTGGGGGGGGGGTCCATGATTGTGGGAGGTGTGCTGCAGAGAGGGAAAGTGGGAGAGGTCTCATGGGGGGG